AGTTTGGTTATTGTGGACATTGCTGCTATAAACATTGGGGTGCATGTACCCTGTCGGATCACTACGTTTGTATCTTTGGGTATTGCTGGGCCATAGGCTAGCTCTATTTTCAACTTTTTGAGGAGGCTCCATACTGTTTTCTAGAGTTATAGCCCTACCTTTTAAATGCTTAATTAGAATTTCAGTATCATTTCCATTCTAATCCATTAGCCAGAAATTAGGTCAGTCACATTGTCACACTTAGCCAAAAGGGAACCTGGGAAATGTAGCCTTCATTACGTCTGGCCATATATATCGCTTGGGGTTATATTACTATAGAAAAAAGAGATATTAAGAAAATTAAGATATTAAGATATTAAGAGATATTAAAAAGAGATATTAAGAAACTATGAACAGTATGTCTCACATCAGCTCGATATTGTTTTCTTTCTTTAATTTTCCCTGTATATTCCCCTCCTTCTATATATTATTTCATACTCATTTTTACAATAACCACTAACATTTATGTAATGAGAATTTATTATGTGCCAAGCAGTATATAATAATATTATTTAATAGCAAAACAATAGTAGCTCTTTAAAATAGGTGCTGTAATAAATGAGTTGCAGAGATTGGGGAAAACAGCAGTAAAAAGATTTAATAACTGTGCAGAGATGCACAGTGGTAAATCATAGAACAGGGGCTCAAATTTGGAAGTTTGGCTTCACAGTCTTAATATCTCCTGCAATCATACAAAATTCCACCTGACTGTCACCACGTTGCACTGCAGTAATTTGTCTCTCTGCTGTGATCTGTTAGAAAAACATGAAGTAGGGGCACCTGGGTGGCTCAGTAGTTTAGGCATCTGCCTTCGGCTCAGGTCATGATCCCAGGGTCCCTGCTCAGCGGGAAGTCTGCTGCTTCTCCCTCTCCTTCCGCCTCTCCCCTCGAACTTGTGCTCGTGCTCTCTCTCTCTCTCCCAAATAAATAAATAGATAGATAAAATCTTTTAATAAGAAGAAAAAAAAGAAAAGAAGACTGTGATGTATGTCTTACCTGTCCATTCCCTGCTTCTAGTTCAGGACCAAGCACATACAAGTTTCGCTAGAGATACATATATATGTATATATATTTTTTGTATCTGTTAGAATCAGTTGTTTGTTGTAACATTTCCTGTTCTATTTAGAGTTTCCTGTGGCAGTACCTAAATACTTCAGTGTTTTACTGGATTGGCTTAACTATTCCACCTGGAGGGCAATCATGGACCTGGGTAGACAACAACCCTTTTGACTCCCATCTGTGAGTTTATTGTATTTCAGCTTTCTTGCAGTTTTAATCCCATATTGTGTGACAAGAAAGAGTCATCTGATGTTGTTGGAAACAGGTATAAATTTCCTGACCGACTCATATGATCTGATAAATATATGTATAGAATGGTCTACTCGGAAAGTTGAGAAACAAAAGAAATCTCACTCCACCCACTCAGAAGATTTAGGTGTGAAATAGGGCTTGCCAATAGTGTCTTTTCATTTGATCATCTTATTTAAGAGGTAAATTGACAAATGTAAAATCTCTTATAAGAACCCAATTCAGTTTACAAAATATAAATTTCTGCTCATTTCAATACTTTTTAAATGAGCAAACCAGAGGTGCCCTTTTAGCGTCATCCATATACATCTCTGACTAATTATCATTAGCTATTAAGTTCTCTTGAGAAATAAAACTGAGGGTGGGAAGAATCACTTTACCCATCATAGTGTGTATTGTTTCAGTTGTTTCCATGATCATATTTTTATTTTAAAAATTGGGAAGTATTTTCTGAGGTCCTCTTTAGTCTCTAGACATAACCTGATTTAAAGATAAGCATTTTCTTTCCTTATAGGTTTTCAATTGAAGAAAAACGGATAACCCGGAGCATGAAATGTGCCCAGGTGTCTCGTAGTAAGGTAGCCAGACAAAACTGTGAGCAAAATGATCAGTGGATTTGTCAACTCTAATTCACGCTGCAGAAAATCGGTCTCCATTTTTCTGACTGAGAGATGCCACATGAAGTTTGATGTCAGACTATATCAAAGTCCAGAGGGCTGTGTGTGTGTGTGTGTGTGTGTGGGCACACGCACATTTCCTAGTGCTTATTTGACATATCAAATCTAAAATCTCAAAGGCATTTCAAACTCAGCGTGTGAAAATAATTCATTAACTTTCCTCACAAAAGGAACAACCCTCTAGTACTTGGCCTCTCAGTCAATAGCATGCCACACAAGAAATTACAGAACCTATAAACCAGCTGTCTCACCACCACCCTCTCTCTGGCCCACACTTCCAGGCTGTTCTCCACTCTGCCTCTCACAAAACCAAGTCTTGTCACCTTTTTTACTAAATATCTCTCAAATCTGACCTCTTCTCTTCATCGCATTAAAATGTTAAATAACTGCCGTAACAGGGTCTTCCTGTTCTATTCCTAACCCATTTCAATTATTCTCTGACATGTAACCTAGGTGATATTTAAAAACTATGTATACTAAAAATACAGCCCTTCTTCTGAAAAACACTTTAACATCTTTCTTAAAATAACACCAAACCCTGTAACACAGCTTAGAAATCCCTTGTCAGGTCTAATCCTTGCTTACTTAGTCAGTGTCTGTCTACACAAAACTTACCCCAACTCCCAGCACCACAACCACATTAGACTAAACTTCAAGAACTCATACAAAATTTTACCACACTGCATTACAGACATTTTCCCTATACCTGGAATTCTCTTTTCTCTCTTCTCCATCAAGTGAACCCTCAAACATTCTCTCTATATAAGCTGAGTTTTTAAGGACCCTTCCTTGAGCTCCATGACAAGGTCATATATCCCAACATTAGAGTCCCCTCCCCAGCACTTATCACAGTTTTGGTCTTACATATGTCAGTCTTTGAGTGAATGTTTGATTAATGTTCTCCACCCTCACCTGACTGTAAATTACATAAAGTTTCAATATCTATCTTTGTATTTCTAGTGCCTTTTAAAGTGTCTAGCACATAATAAATACCCGAAAGATTATTTACTATATTAAGTTTTCTCTAAGTGATCACAGAAGTAAAATACTGATGAGTGGCTGGGAGATAGGCTACAAAAGAAACAGACTCAGACAATGGAGGCTCAATTGGTAGGTCATTGAGTGCCAGGGGAAAACTGAAGAATTGTTCTGTGTGGGTGACTGATATTGGAAAGAGAATCCTATAAATGCCAAGGGAGTTTATAGGAAGTGTTAAATGCTTCAGAGACAAACTTTTTTTGTGATGTTTATGCTCACCTCTTTATGGTGATCATATCCTTACAAGTTTTCTTGCACATCATATCATAATACGACAAACCAACTTGTGTATGTTGAGTTGGACAGTTATATAAACTGATGGGTAAAGCATTTGTCTTATGGCATGTTGGCACTACAGTCCAGCAAAAAAAAAGTTTCATTTTATGAGCCCGGTAGTGTTTATAAAACTATAAGAATATCTATTAGCCTGATTTTCAGAATAACTACTTGAAAACACAGACTATCTCGAGGGACAATAATCAACAAGGAGTTGCTGTATACAGGGGATAGACACAAAAATACCTAACACTGGGTGGCTCAGTCTGTTAAGCATCTGCCTTTGACTCAGGTCATGATCCTGGGGTCCTGGGAACGAGCCTCACATTAGGCTCTCTGCTCAGCGGGAGTCTGCTTCTCCCTCTGTGCATCCCCTCTCCTTCTCTCTCTCTCAAATAAGTAAAATCTTAAAAAAAATACCTTGGGGCGCCTGGGTGGCTCAGTCGTTAAGCGTCTGCCTCCGGCTCAGGTCATGATCCCAGGGTCCTGGGATCGAGCCCCACATCGGGCTCTCTGCTCAGCGGGGAGCCTGCTTCTCCCTCTCCCACACCCCCTGCTTGTGTTCCTTCTCTTGCTGTGTTTCTCTCTGTCAAATAAATAAATAAAATCTTTAAAAAAAAAATACCTTACACTTTGTGCTGCAAGTGGTCTACAAAGGTCTTGGAATTCAGACACAGCTGATGACGGTGCAGGTACTCTGGTTTGCATTCCTTCACTAAAGGGCATGGGCTGGTGGTGTTTCCTGCTCATGTGATTCCTTGGTGGTCCCAGAATAATTTGTTTGGTAATCTTGCCTCAGATAGTTTGGAAACGATCCCTTCTTATTTTCTTTCTCCTCTCAAATTTGGAAATCCATTCTTTTTTTTACATATATATCCAGGAGTTCTTGGATTATAGTCTTCAGGAGATAGAAGCTATTGGCATCCACATGCCTAGCTGTAGGTTCTTCCCAGGGAGAAGTCTCTGATGGATGAAGAAAACAGGCAGACCTGTGAGGCAGAACAAAGCCACAACTTCATTCACCATTTGACCTCCTTATGCCCCTACTCTGATCAGTATAATACAATGACAGTTTGGGTCTCCTGAAATTAGTATCCATTCAGAGCTACTGCCCAGCAACTCCTCCAAAGTCTTATTATTTCTCCTTCCTTAATGCATAGTCATCCATGTTAATGGTCATAGATCTTTTTAGGGAAGAGTGGGGAAAAGATGAGCTATATAATTTTTTTTCTGTTTAAAAGAGTTCTTTCTCAAAGACTTGCCCCCCACTTGGAATTAAAGATATTCTGGGTCTGTAAAATGGCTCAAGTCAGAAAATTAACTGAAGGAACATGATCTCTTATGTATAGAATTCAGGTTAGACTTCTATTCACTTAACCTAGAGCCCATCTACTTAAGGGAGGGAATTACAGTTGCTTCAAGCAAAGCAAGGTTAACCTCCTCAGATGGGGGTGAAAGGGCTACATTTACTGGCAAAAAAGACTCAATAAAATTTAGGGTTCCATGTCCCTAGCTTGATTAAAATCTTCCTATATATCCCCATTCCAGTTCTCAAGATTTCAATCCTTCCCAATTGGTACCCTCACTTTAACAGAAGACATTTTGCAATGCTGAAAATCCAGAACTTCCCTGTCTTCAGTCCCTCACAATGCTGCTAACAGTAGTTTCATCTTTAGGGCAAATTCCCTGAAAAATGTCCAGCTATATCTAGGAACTTTCTAGCTTGTCTCTGACAATTTTATCTGATAACAAAAACAAGCAGTTCAGACTCTCTCCAGCAGACGGAGCCATTAAACAAATGTGTTCTTAGGAAGACCTCATTAGAAAACTGCCGCATTTCTTATGGTGTTCTGAGATATTGACAGCAGCTGTTAACATCAGTAACTGACTTACTGCAGCTTACCGATAAGAAAGGAAAAAGAAAAAAAGGTGCAATTAGTAGACACCATACAAAAAACATAGGGAATGAAAGAAAACCCTGACTACAGCAGAGGCAAATTGATATGGAGGCGAGAGCATACAAGTAGGAGCTGACCTGTCTTCAGAGCTTAGTGACACCTTGTGGTCTCTGGTGATTCTCAGGAATCACAGGAGGGAAGTATGCGTGCAATTCCTAGGGAATGAGGGTGGGACGCATTGAAAGGAAATTTTAAGGTCCCTGCAGCCAAGCAAGCTGTCTACCGATGTCTCTGGAACAAAACCTGTACCTAGAAACTAAAAGCTGAGCTATATGAAGATTCACAATGAATCATCAGATCACTGTTCATCTCCACAATGCATTTGATTCCTTGTAGAGCCCAATCAAATAGTTAAATTAGCCTTAAATTTTTTTTTGGGGGGGGGAGCATAGAAACATATAAGCAAATCACTATTAACACATCTCATTTTTTCAGTTTCCATTAACCAGAGAATCATAGCACCCCACTCTAAATACAGAAGTGAACCATAAAACTGACACAGACTGTCTGATAAGAACGGTGGCAGCAGAACCAGGACAGTAAATCTGAAATATACCATTTGGGGGAATAAGGAAGAAAAATCAGGGCACTACAAGATCAACATGAATACTAAAAATCGGATGCTTCTGTGAAAAAAAAAATTGACTACAGAGATATGAGTTAAAATTAATTTCATCAGGATGCTTAGAAGAGTTGAAATGAACAGGATCTCTGATGTAAATTGAACAAATGCAAAATAATCCCAAATTTGCTTTAAACAGCTCACTCTCTTTGGTCCCCTACTTGAATGCTAAAAAGTCTCCACTTAAACAGTAGGTACTACTTGTTGAACATAGTTCTAAGGTGCTATAAAAATTTTAAATATATTTGAACCTCATCAAAAATCTGCTAGGTAGGGGCACATGTGTCGCTCTGTCGATTAAGTATCCAACTCCTGATTTCAGCTCAGGTCATAATCTCGGGGTGGTGAGATTGAGCCCCATATTGGGCTCCACACTCAGAGCGGAGTCTGCTTAAGATACTCTCTCCCTCCCATCTATGAAAAACCCACAGTGAATATCATTCTCTCTTTTTTTTTTTAAAGATTTTATTTATTTATTTGACAGAGACAGAGACAGCGAGAGCAGGAACACAAGCAGGGGGAGTGGGAGAGGGAGAAGCAGGCCTCCCGCCGAGCAGGGAGCCCGATGTGGGACTCGATCCC